ACGAAGGACCTTTGCCACATCAAGTGAACCTTATACAAGGTCAAGATGTTTGTGCTACTGAAAGGAAAACCTGTCATTTTTGCAGGCCATAAATTACGTGGTAGTAACTGAGGACATGGGGGCTGAAATGCACAATTGCATTCTTTCCATGGCTCTTGTAATATACTCTACCCTGAGGATTCTGTGCAAGTACTCTGTAGGGAATGAAAGGCTAGAGGTCGTGTGAGCGTATAATGTTCAGGGATGGTGCAAGAAATCAAGTATTTCCTTAGAGAGTTCCTTTTAATTAATCAAATGAAATATGTTTGTAATATCTGTGCTGAAGGCTTTTGATGTTTTATTCAAAAGCCACACCATGTCTCTAGGTTACCGTAAAGGCAGAGTAACTTGTGCAGAGGCTTAGAAGCATGGGATGGTAGAAAACAAGTATAACAGGGCATTTTGGTCCCTCCCTGAGAACTGCATCCACAACTCAATATCAGTTCATTACTTCAGCAGTGGTGGTGCAAGACTGGAGCATGATTTAAGCAGAAAAGCTTCTGTTCCTCGGAAAACGAGGGAAGCAGAAAAAAACCAGGGCAGGAACACCGGTGTCTGCGAAGGAGAGATTTTTTTGAGATGAGTCTCTGCGGCTGGATCTACGCTGCATACAGCGAGGCACGGGCGCAGCGCCTTAACCAACGGCACGAGGTCACCTACACTATTTCATCACTTGCACAGACTCTGGCGCCGGCTTGGCCCCTGCCAGCGGGTATTCTCGTGGGCCGGGGGCCAGCCCCCACGTTGGCCGTGTTTTCCCTGTTTGTGGAGTGGGGACACAAGCCGTAGAGCGTGAGGGGACCCTGGGGCCAGAGGTGGCTCCTGGCTTTTTCGTGTACAGGCGTGGGGGGGCTGCGCGGGGCTCCCAGGGCAGGCAGCACCATCGCCTGTGTGACGTGGCATCCCTTCAGATGCCCTTGCACGACCCTACACAAGGATGCTTGTATCAAGCGTGTGCTTTGTAAAGCTTCACCATTCTTGATTGGTGAAGATCTCCCTTTGATCTGCTTGGTCCTGACATTTCCTTGTAGACTGATAACAAGGACTGGAAACACAGCACCCCGGCACCTTCGTTAACTTGTGCAGGGTCTCCTTCAACAAGAGTTCTGCCAGTCGTGAGCCGCACGTCACCAGAGACTGGACATGTATTTAAAATCAGATTATGTGAGTCTCGGTTTTCAATTTCCCTCCCCTGCGCTGTTGTTAAATGCTCGAGAGAGCATCTGCTGCCGCGCCACCAAAGACCTCTCCAGCCATCAAAGCTCTCTCAGGTTTGGCTTCCACTTGCAAATGCCATGTATGTAGCTGAAATAATTACTGCTGTTGCCAGGCCCACTTTGGCAATGGCAATAAATGGTTTATGGACCATTTCAGAGGACTGTTGCTACCCATAAATAAGGCCATTCGTGCAATAGTTTTGGTCAGACTGTTCTAAGGCTGCTATGCCAAAATCCTTTTGGAAGATACCTGTGGCCAGCTTAAGTGCTTTGCTTGCTGCCAAGAAACTCTCCTTCTGTGGTTTTAATATGCAGTGGGGGAGTGTTAGTAAGCTTTCGTTACTGGGTAGCCTAAGAGGAAGGCTACTACATTTTCAATCCTGTTCGCCTCTCAGCTGCCTCCATAAGCTCCTGTCTGGATTAGAAACCTCCCTTTACAGGCCAGTTTCTAATTGCTAATGTTTAGTTTTTCCAGCAGTCTCTTTCTGATGGTTTTGGCCTAGATTCCAAGCACGTCCTTTATCAGAACTCAGTCAGCCCTGCAAAGTCGCTGCGTTGACTACCTATCTGCCTTAGATCATCCTTGTACGCTAATAATTTCTCTTCCTTTCTGAACCCTCTACTTACATATTTGCTTCTTTGCTTTATTGTTACAGAGTTCAGTGCACCTCACCTTCACGGCGAGGTAGTTCCTCCTCTGCCTGTGCTAATGGAAGATCATTTACAACCCCAATCCCATATGGTAAAAAGAAAAATCAAGCAAATATCTGAGTGTCTTGTCTTTCGGAAGGGGAAGTTCACAGTGAGAATTTTTTTTTTTTTCATTAGATCACTGATATAAAGTTTTGACACTGGACTGCGTACTCAAAACTCTGTTGTCACTGGCCAAAAGGTCTATTGCAAGTGTAATTTCTTCTCCTCCCAAACATGCTGCAGAGATGTAAGAATCACCAGAAGGACCGGCTGTTCAAGGGTATTGTTTTGTGTCCAGACTTTCATCCAGAAAGTGGTGGCTTCTAGTTTGGCTTGAAGATCAGCCCACCAAAATAATTAATCCTTTGGCTGGAGAATACCTCAAGGAGGAAACTGGAGAACCTGACAACCAAGAGGTATTAATAAAATGCTGAAAATACTGTATTTTCATCCAGTGAAAAATGCAAGATGTTCTAAACTAAATACATCATCTCTAGATCTTTTTCACTGAGCTGTCAAATGCAGCAAGCATATCAAACTATGAAATTGGTAACGCACCAGAAAAAAAAAAAAAAGAAATCAAGGTTGGTAGTGCCTGACTTTTTCAGCAATGGACTGGGCAAGGCAGCAGGGAGCTGCCTCTCAGCAGTGAGCACACTGGACATCTCTCTGATGATACCAGTCCTAGAAGTAGCTGGACGAGGTCCCAGAGTGGAAACTTGGCGTTCGCCTAAAAGCTGGAGACAATGGAAGCTGTTCCTTCTGCCACGGATGAGAAATTGGTCATATCTGTTGGCCCCAGTTCATAAGGGTGGACTAGTAGCTGGAAACCGCTGACCAGGAAACAGGCTGCGCTCGCCCCGAGGCGCGGGAAGATCTTTAAGGGTTTACGCGCAGCAAGGAATGCTCTGCTGTTGCCATTATCTTTTATCTACAGATATGTCCAAGGTGCCGTTTATGCCACCTTTTCCGTGGAAGGGAGACAATAAGAGGGAACACGATCTTCTCGTGCGGATCATTGCTATTAACGACAATACGTACAGGACAAAATAAGAGGACGCGCCGAGGAAATGTTTCTGTGACAAATGGGCTCGTGAAAATCTAAACGGATGCTTGAGTGAGGTGCAGGCTGCAGGGCTGGAGCAGAAGTGAGCCGCTGATACCCCGGGAGTGTGCTCAACAAATTACTCTCTTCTTAGGTCACTTCCAGGCGCGGTGCGAGTTACAGGGGTTTAACCTATGAAATCACTTCTGGCGCGGTTTTGGGGAGATACTTGCGCTATATAAGTGGTTATGTCGGGAGCCTAAATTTAGAGAGGGTAGCTTCAACCCCACGCTGGCACTTAGAGCATTTCTCACTTCCCATCGTGGAGCAAGTGGCCCCGTCCCAGCTCCACGTCAGCGTGAGACCCAGGCCAGCGTCCCACAGCGCCCGTGCCGCAGCTGCCGTGGGACACGAGCCAGGGCCCCTGCCCCAGCACGGAGCCAGGAGCGCTGAGCCACCTGGAGAGCAGCCTGGTGGCTGGTACACCCCAGTAGCTCGCTGTAATGCAGCCAAATTTGGGATTTTGTGCATCTGAGAGGTCTCCGCAGGGGAGGGCTAGCCCGCAACCGTGACCTTAGCAAACGCTGTCGGTTCGTCTTGTTTGCCCTCCAGGAAATGTTTATTTACCCAGGCTTTTCCTGAAGAGATGTGTTGCGTAGGACGTCCTCAGCCGAGGGATGGGGCATTTCAGTTCAACGGGTATTTTGCAGCCTACATGTCTGTGATAAATATGTGCTCTTGAAAAGGAAGCGGACACCGAAGTCGCGCTTCTGTCTAATTAGTTTTACCACAATTGTTGGATGGAACACGCGTGATTGCCACCGTAGAAAGAGTTTAAAATGACATCTCTTTACTTGGGTCAAATGATTTACGTTGCGCCTTTCCCATACAACCAGGGCCACTGCCTCCTGTTGTGGCCCATCAGTTTGGTTCCCTTACTTTCCACCTCGGGGTTCCCCACAAGAAAGAACAAAATGTCAACAAGTTGGGAAAAAATGTGAATGGAGAAACCCAAATCCAAATCCCGTGGGGCAGCGGTACCCCCAGAGCTGTGTGAGCACAGGACCCGTCCCTTACAGGGCTTGGGCTCATCTCGTGTCCTCGGCTCCTGCCTGTCGGGGGGCTGCTCTCACCCACTTCGCCGCTCCCTGGTTAGGGCACTCACCGTCTCTGGTTTGGCAGGCTTTGGCAGATGAAGATCTTTGCCTGAACGCTGGCTAGTTTAATGCCGGAGAGGACCATAGCTAGAGAGCAGAGAGGGGCAGCACGGCAGGCGGCACGCGGGAAAGGCTATGTTCTTGCCTGCCGCGGGGCCGGTGAGCCATTTTCACCAAGATCCGCTTCTTCGCATGGTAGGAGTCCTTCCTACCTCTAAAATACCCTTTAGACAGCAATGCCTAAAAGCAATAGCGCTGGGTTTTTTTTGCTAAAGCCGCCCGCCCTACCAAACCAGACACAACCCTGTAGAACTTAAAGCACCCAGCGGTCTATCACTTGGTGGCAGGTGAAGGTATCGCCGGTGGAGGTAAGAGGGACCTTCCCAGCTCCTCGGCAAGCTCCCCTGCCTGAGGGGACCGGTGCCATACAGACCGTGCTCTCGGCTGGCAAAGGGGTGGCCAACGCAGCGTTGGCCTTGGTGGGCGGCTCGCCAGCGAGGGGCAGCGGGTTTGGGCCCCGGAGGCCCGTGGCGGTGGAAAAAGGGCCGGGCCGGCGGAGCCGCTGCCGCCAAATCCATGGGATGCGTTTAGCCCACCCGCGGTTATCCGTACTGACCTCCTTTTTCCACCAGTTGTGTCCTACGCACCACCGACACAAGATTTCTTAGTAAACCCCCCCCCGCGCTGGCACGCTCTTTGAAGCAGGCTAAGGCTTTCTCATGCCTCTGCCCCCAAATAACAGTTCTTTCTGCTTTCCAAAACCGGGTTGCGTTCACCGCACGGGCGTGCGAGAGCGTGAGCGGGCTGGGAGCAGCACACAATGGCCAACGAGGCATGAAAAACTCCTACCGTCGACCACGGGTTTGGGCTGCGAGCTCTTCAGCCGCAGCGAGGGCCTGAAGCGGGTTCGGTCGTTGAAGCTCCAGCTCTTCTGGACTTTGGTTGGGCTGCCCTCGGTGGCAATGTCGGCACTTGGTGACCGGCGATCTCCAACTGAAGACTGCCTGTTCTTTATACTTTGACCTCGTGGGCTGGCCATCCGGACCCGCTCCTTAAAACTTAGCTTTTGACTGTGAAGAAGAGAAATGTATTTTATTTCATAGTGCCTTCACTCCGTTTCTTTTTTTCTACCATATGATAATGGAAAATAATTTCTAGAAATTCTCAATGGTATGAATCTGTTTCTTACACACTTTTATTTTCGTTGAATGTATTTCATTTGGGAATGAAACTGATTTGGTATAAATTTTGATAGAGGCATTGTCAATGGCAGTCTATCTTACAGTACAAAATAATCTTAAGGAAATTAAAATTAACAAATAGAAACAAATTTCACCCAATTATTATACATTAATCGCTAAGATTTTGGGTTTTTTTCTGTTCCTTGAATTTTAAATAGGTTTATTTCCATCTTAGTCAGCCCAGCTCAGTGCATTTCTGGCCATCTCTTCAGATAAACAAGAACAAAATGTATTCTATTATTACTGCATGCCATGTAGTATTGTTTGGTTTTTTTTTTAAGCAGGCAAAAATACTGTTAGTATACTCATGCTTTTTCAAGATGTGGCACTTGCAACATTTCATACGCATTGTTAGTGATCACTGATATCCAGAATTCCTTGTTACAGCACTTACTTGGACAAGATGAAACCAAAATTAACAAAACATCCAAGAAACAGCGTGATGACCAATTAATGGAAATGTAATGATACGCTGTGCTCACTAAAGTCATTGCTGGAGATTACGCTGGGAGCTGACTACCTGCAGGTGGTATTGGAAAGGCGCTTTAGGGCAGGTACAAGAGCCCAGCCAAGCTCATGACTGTGACTGCTGGATCAGTGGTGGCCCTGTCATCTTAGAGTTGGCCAATTATAAGCTGATTTTTTTTTTCCCTCCTGTGCTTATAATGTATATGTAGATATGTAGATTTTCTACCTCCCAGTGCTTAAATTACCTTTGTTCATGTTCAGACGTACCCGATGAACATCCTGTGGTCACCGTGACTATCTACCTATGCTTTTTCATTATTTAATGTTTTTGCTTTTGTTTGTCTCTTCCTGTAGCAGAAGGCACAAAGGGGAAACAGCAAGGAAGTCCGATACCAAGGTTTGGAAACCTTGTTTTAGGTACAAGGTTAAGTTCAATCGCCTGTACAAGGGAATGGTCGTCTTGATCAGTGGTCCTGTTCTTGCAAGGGGAGAGATGATGGGAGCAAGGCAGTAGCTGCTCGTGGTATGACGTTACTGGGTCTTGCAGTCCTACTGCCCCACTGTAGGCTTCGGGGGTGCTTTTAAAACAGCTATAGCAAAGACTGTCTACCTGTAAATTATAATTGTACTTGAAGTTAAGACACTTTCTAGTACTCTCAAAGTCTTTGCGTTTAACTTCAGCAAGCCCGTAAGATGTTTTCAACAGGAATGAATTCTGCAGCTAATTAGCTAACGCTAACATAGACTATGTGGTCCTTAGGTGTTTAACCTACTGCACTCTGAAAATACAGTGTTAATACATAATTATATGAGATGGAAAGTAGTTATAAACTTCAGTGGCTGTGAAATGTTGAGATCATCAGATATCTTTATCCATGCATAGCACAGCATTTCATTCTGAATACAAACATCACTGAGAGCAGAAAGGATGCAGTTTGTAGCAGGCAAAGCACATGCTGGGAAGCTTATAATGAGATAATTTTCAAGAATGCTAAAAAATGAGCACATCAATAGAAAGATTATTAGATAAATGTTTTTCTATATGGCATGTTGGATCACTTGAAAGAACACCTTTACTATAATTTCTGAATGTAATCCCCTTCTTCCCTTGCCCAGAGTAAGCAATTGTTGAAATAAACACATCACGGTGCTGGAAATGTTATCTATTTCTATTGCAAATTGTTACCCAGACCTGCAGTACTGTGTGCTGTTGCATATGCAATACAAAAGACGCACAGAACTGACTCTTTGACAGAAAAGTGAGTTCTAAAATTTAATTTTCAATACAAATTACGTTTCAAGACTGAATTACATTTCAGCTCAGGAATCTTTTGCATTGTGCACCTTAATGAAAATACAAGCTGTAAAATATTTATTAACCACGTTATTGCATTGTCATACTATACAGCATGAGCAACAGAATCAAAATGGACTTCTTATTATAGATATTATTCCTAGGCATGTGTCCCTTGTGCTTTTTTTAACTCCTCTTATGGCTCAAATTGTATTTGCTATTGAAGCGTGAAATCAAATTATATTTTTTTTGACAAATCTTAGAGTAAAAAAGTTTCTGGACAGCTCTCTTCCTGTTGCACTAATTAAAATCAAAGGAAAAATGATAAAATAGCCATAAAAATGATCAGTATGGACCATATTTTTTATAATCCCATTAATTCCAATATAAAAATGAAAGTAAAAAAATGAAAAAAGCATACGTGTTGCTCTGTCAATTAATTTGTACTAATGAAAGCAATGGCTGCCATTAAATGATTTGTACACAGGGTTATTTCATTTATAAAAGCTGAATGGTACACAATGGCTACTTAACCTGAATATCTTTAGTTCTTCAAATCAAAGCAATGAGGCAATGGTGAAAGGAACAGTAGACACTTCATCTGTACTAGAGACATTTTTCAAAAGTGCAACACTGAGAATGAAAATATTAATTTAAAATGCAGACCTCATACTTCAAAAAAAAAAAAAAAAAATCTGCTTTGTAGCAATGGCAATGTAATGGCATGCCAAGGGTCCATGCGGAGGATGCTGCATCGTGAAGAGAAACGCAGCCCCTGAAGGAAGCGTGGTTTGGAAACTCTATTTTGCATCTTGAGAGTTTCAACAAAGACACTGGTTATAACAGTTCTTCGCTTCTTGGATCCCTGTTCCTATTTTGAGACTGGTGGGAAATGTTCCTGAAGTCACTGGGTCCTACTCAGCGCAGGCATAAATTGTATGACTTGCAGCAGTGGAGAATTCATGCTTGGGAGAAGAAAGCTGCTGTCCTTGGGAGCACGCTGCCACGGGGCTCTCCTATATATGATAAATAACAGAAGATGGAGGAATAACTGAGTCAGAGTGTCTGGGGGGCTTCCTGACCAGGCTTTTTCCCACAGTGAAAGTCCCTTTCCTTTTAGGCTACGTAGTCCCTGGCTCTTGATTCTCTGTTGCAATAGTGGTAGAGATAGATAGTGTTAGAGATACAGAGTGGAGATCATCTTATGCCTTTTCAAGCATCTTTGGGCATTCTGCACTTGAATCAGTTGCCACTGAAGCCCTTAGGGCCCTTTGATTTAATGCTGGTTGGATTAGCACTGTCCAGTGCCATGCTAAAAATCCTTCACCTCTTGCAGGACCTAGTCTATTCCATTTTTCTCTCGCCCCTTTTCTCCTCTCTTTTTATATGATATCCAAAGGAAATCCCTTGAGTTAATGCAAACCTGTTAATGCCCATTGGAAATTCACATACCCCTGTAAGCACTCCCAAACTTTAAGTTGAATGTTGGTCCAAAAGGCAAAAATCACGAGAAAGAATCAGGAAAATGAAATTACACAAGTTCCTGAGTCACCCCTAAATGACAAGGATCTGAGAGAACCGCAGCTGTGTCCAGTCATCTCTGCATTCCTTTAGATGTCTGCCTGTCCATCATTGCTTGTACCTTACATGACTGATAGTTTATCCCATTTGGTTTATATACGGATTTGCTTCCTATTACAATCTTCCCCGGCAATGTTAATCTCTTTGGACCTATCGCTCCTCTGTTCATGCAGGTTGCAAATTGTGGAATATATTTGTGTCGGTAACCCTGGAGCTTTGAAGCATCTTTTAGTGGAGATCAATTACAACTGGCACCTGTGGGAAAAAAGCAAGTGATCTTCTCGATTTGTTTGCCTTCTGGAAAGTCACTCGTAGGATCTTACTGCTTATTCTTCCCATCAATGCATGCATGAGCCTTTCACTTCCCTGAGATAGGAAAGGACTTTCTAGTTCTTATTTTTTCTTTTTTAAATTCCATCTTTTCCGCCTGATTTATGAGGGAAGAGGTGTTCAGGGACACTAGAGGTCACTGTAGCTTCACTGCAGGGGGAAGGAACACTTCTCTGCTGGACCAAATGGCTAGACTTGAAAAGATTTTGGTTTAATCGATAAATGCCTACAAATCTTTGCCTTTCTCCCCCGTACTCACAGCTCTGTCTGTCTTCCAGGGACCATCTTACTATACTTTTTGGTTAACTGAGCATCTTTTTGCCTCCCAGTCCCACTCCCCTACTTCCCTGCCTACCTTCCCGCATTTCTGGTCAAGTTTATCTTCTGCCCTGCTACAGCTTCAGACCTGCAGCACAACTGCTTGCTACTAGTCACAATTTATGTTTTGTTTTTCAGCTTTTCATACTGAGCCGGCTGGTGGAAACGGGAATAGGAAGAAATTGAAATGAATCAGAAGTAACTGGAGGGCCTGAGGGCGAGGGAGAATGCTTTGGATCTCGAGTCGAGACAGAAGCTAGAACTGCCAAAAATTATCACCCATGGCAAACAACAGCAAGCAAACGTACGTGCCAATTTTCAGCAGTTAACTTCCAATTAATACAGCTGTTGATTCTTACCAAGCCTACAGATGACTTTACTGAAATTAAGCTAAGTTGAACAAATACAAATGCAATGGATAGGACAGTGAGGCCTGAAGTTCAAACATTCAAGATTTCTCCACCAGTCTCATGCTAGGACCATGAACCCAAGAAATGTAGTGTTATATCTCATACCTTCAATGAGTAATAACAAGAATTTCAGGGACATAATGTCTTAAAGTTCAATCGTCAAACAGAAAAAATAAAAGAATTTCAGGGGGTTTGTGTATTTTTTCCTTTTCCAAAACAGTTTCCAGATGAAGAGAAACTATTTTTTATCTCCTTTTTCTATCATCAATTTGTACTTCTATTGTCTTTTAAATTATTTTTAAAAAGTACAAAAAAAATTGTAATAAGCTTGAGCTATAACTCAAGGGTTTCTTCCCATAAGATCCATCCCTCTAGGAATTACCATTTTTGGTAAGAGACACAATTTCCCCAGAATTCAGCTGAAGCAGATGGTTGATTTCACATGCATTCCTCTACCTTCTAGTACAGGACGCAGGCACAGCTTCCGCGGGCTGTGTCCAAGGGGATTCTTCTCAACAACAGTTGCACATTTTGACTGCTGGTATTGCCTAGCGTGTTATAGTTTAATATTCCCCACTAATTATTAGATGGAGAACTCAACTGCTATGGTTATAAAAATCCTCTTGGACTTGGGGAAGTGTCTTCACCCAAATATTCAACCCCAGATTTAGATCTCCGCAGGGTAATGCATTCCAAAAGTTCAAGTCTCAGGCAGAGAAAGGGGAACCGGGCTTCGGCAAACTGCGGCGTGCTGCGCACTGCAATTGTCCGACCAGATAAGCCTCAAAGAATTGGGACTATTGCCATCGTATTAATGTCATTGCAGGCAACAAGCAACAAGGGAATTACAAGCAGTTAAAAATAAATAAATTAAGAAACCTCCTTTGGAGAAGTAAGGAACTTTAAAGCACTACGGAGAGGAAGTAAATGGATCATGCACCTGATGTTAGTTGGCATTCTCAAACATCATGTGAATAGGCAGGATGCTGAATACCTATGTTTCCGAGGGGTGTACATCCTGAAGAGCTTCTGTTTATTACTACAAAGCTTACTAGGAGTGAGGGGAGATAGAGGACCGTGTTACTAAGCATTCCACTGCTAGGTAAGGGGTTAGGATTTCCACCTCAACTTAGATTCTGCATCACTGGCAATTTCTTTTTCATATGGTGCATGCAGAGAGTTTACAATAAATCTACTTTTAGAAACAGATACGGTATAGGAGGTGGAGAGAATTGCAGAGTATAATTTACTTGTTTCCCTCGGAGCAGGGATGAGTTTTTCCCCCAAGCTCCTATACTGGCAAAACTCCTCCTTATTGCATCAGAGAGAGTTGTCTGAATAGGGAATTCCTATTCCGGCTCACTAGTTACAACACTGGATGGGTGACGTTCACCCTTTGCAGACACCCAATGCGTGTCCTACACACAGCTTAAGACTGCTTATGCTCTCAGGATGTTGTAAGACTCATCAGTGTTGGTCTAGTTTCCTGCACAGGAAGAATTTCAGCCACATTGTATAATTGAACAGGAATAAAGATTATTTGCATTCAGTTTGTGCATTTGTAGATACGTAGAATTTAACATACAGGCTTTTTAAATAACTTGCAGATGTCTAGAACTGATTTATAGAAACATCTAATTTACAGCGTGGATATACCAGAGAGGTTGGCTACTATTACTTTTCATAAATGATTAATTAGAATACTTGTGTATAATATTTTGAGAAATACAACATACATATTTTTCTTAAAATCAATATGAAGCTACAGCCTCATAAGCACAGCTCTCTCAACTCAAATGCACAGCAACATTTAGTTACCTAATGAAAGACTGTAGGTCTATACATGACAAAACGCAAGGATTCATTTCTGTAAATATAAAAGTCATTTTGGTAGGAAAGAAAATAATTAACTTTTCCCTAAAGTAGTAAAAGTTTTTCTCCACTGTTACTAGAATGGAGTACAGAGCAAAGAGCATACTCAGAAAGCAATCCAATGCACTACTTGTGCAAACACATCTTCATTTAAAGAGTGAAGCAAGAAGCAGCTTACTTTGTTCACATAACATCCCATGCAAGTCACTCAGCATTGCGGTAAGAAAGAAGTTAAACAGTCGAGGACAGTTATCTCAAAGTACATTGCAGCAGTTTGCATTTACATTTTTACCACAAAAGACCACATACACCACACGTATTTTAAGTGGCACAAACATACAGCAATATATCACCATAAGAACAATAACCGGCCACTGACAAAACGCACCTTTTTTAAAAGGCACTGAGTGGTCCTTAGGGTTTTTACTGTAGACCAGGATCATGGGAGTTAACTAGTTCATTTTTATACCTACACTAATTTGCAGCAGTGCACATATTAGTTAAGAGTTTCTGAAGGGACAAACATCTTCCATTCGGTGAAAAAATCTGGCCGAATCATTTAAGACCACAACAGTTATCACTAACACGGAGCATGTAATATAGTTTTGACAGCTGGGGTTTTTTTTGCGTCTAGCTTCTACTTTGTAAGTAAATTTGTCTCTTTAAGTGCTTGCAGGTACGACTGGGAATAACATCTCCCATCCGCACAAATCCCTGTTTTGGAGGTATGTACTCATTTACTGCCAGCTTCAGTCTCACCTTTAAAAAAGCTGAAGTCAATGTTAAATGTTGCTGTTGAAAGAGTAGGAAATACGGCTGGTAAGCGCAAAAAGTTTGGGTCAGGCTGTAATAAATTAATGAGATCAATACGTTGCTAGCAAGCCTGTGAACGTAACTTATATGAGAAGTCACAGAACTGATGGAGCAGGTGAAGTGCTCTTGAGGGACATCTCGGAGCAAATCCAGTGCCCTGGAGTTACTGTGACACTAACAGCAGTTACGTGCCCATGGGGGGAAAGGACGGAGTCGGGCGCCGGAGGAGCAGTCTGGAAAGTGGAACGGGTGATTGATGTGAAGATATTACAGCCCTGTTTGTGCGTGAGGTCCGCGGTGCTCAGACTCCTCACAGGTGACTGGATAGCCCAGAAGAGTTTGTGAACCGCAGTGCAACTCGAGGGCGGATCTATTTCGGGGGTTGATGTGTCACCGACACTTTTTTTCCTTGTGTTTTCATCGTTTTCTGCTCGGAGGTAAACTCCGCTATGCTCCGATCGTGCCGATACCGCGGCGCCGGCTGCCGAACGCCCGCCGACTCCCGCCCCTAACGAGTTTCGGAGGTAGCGTAATTTCTCTTGTAGCCACCGAGTCCTTTCCCATCCCTAAGGATTCGAGCTAGAAATACGGCCAAGAGCAGCATCTCCTCCTCCTGCCTTAGGACCGGGCCTCTCCAGGGCTTTCTTTACAGAGCGAGGATCCCGGCGGGGTGGAAATCCCACCTGCCGAAGGGAGCCCCGAGGATGCTCCCGCAAGGCAGCACGGACCCTCGCCAAGGTGACAGTCGGGGGGGGTCCTCCTCCTGCGACCGGGGGGGTGGTGGGCTCCTTCACAAAGCCAAATTCAACTACGTGACCGTAGATTCCGTGGGGATTCCTGGAAGGCGGGAGCATCGATTTTATGGCAGAAGCCAGGGGCCGCATCCTTGCCTAGGAGCTGGGTGTGGGGAGGCTGCTCCACTCGCTTCCCTGCCTATGTTCGAACTGGGCTTCCCCCCGCAGTGGAAAAGCAAAAAATGGCCTTGTTTTTCCACACAAAAACTGGGACAAAGAAGCCAATTTCAGCAGCATTAGTCTATCGATACAAAGTTTAAAAAAATGCAGTTTGGGATTGTTATCAGTCAACAGTTACAGTTCATTGAACCTACTGTATAGAACCTGAGACATCTACAAGGCGTTAAGAAGCAGCGATTTCACAGATAAAGAAATAAAAGAAACTACAAACCTGCTAGAAGCTTCCCCTTGTTCTTTTCTTCAGGTCAGGGAGTGGGAGGGAAAAACATACTTGTTATGCAGATAGTAATCACATTACTTAGTTACAGATGATGTTAGATATATGATAAACATAAATGGATATATTAATTAACGTACAACACACACGTTACATTGCAACCACAAAAACATTCAAGCAAGACTCGTAACTACAATGCTTCTGAAAAAGAAACTTCTCGGTTGTTTTAACACATGCATAACATGCTTAGTACATACCACTGCAGACTGAGTTGGCAAAGCACTTAGGCAAAATGCATTGCTGACACATATATAACAGAAAGCTGTAGGCTCTTATTAGATAAAGTTATCTCTGGTAAATAAAAAGGTTTAATTTTAGGATAGCACAGCAATACGCTTATTTAAAATAACAAGTAGATGCACTTTTGAGGGACAGTCATATTTTAGAATATTTTAGGTGGGATACAGCTTCATTATTTATGTAATTTTATATCCATCCATTTATACCAATGCTGCCTTCAACCTGTTTGTATATATCAAAAATCAATATTCCGTGTAACTTTTAATTTAAATGCTCCTTTTAGTTTGGAGCATTTTGGAGTTACAGTTGTGGTAATGGATTACTTATGGCTCTGTTCTTGTCAACTCTTTGAAATTCAAAGATCAGCTTTGGGTACCCAGCCAAACCTCTTTTTGGCTGAGCTTTCTGGCACACGATTACCTTTTTACTGTCATGTGGATGTTCATCACCCAGCTTTGAGAGAAACCACTAATTCTCTTGCACTGTCTGCAATAACAACAGTTAGGATGCTTATCAGAGCTTTCCCATAAGGCTCTTAGCGCTCTCCTTTTTGATCTTTATCAAGTCACTTTTACTTCCTGACTTGTGCCCCGTATTGACTCAGTCAACTTATTACCTTCTGGTAAATCTTGTACTGAATTATTGAAGTCTTGGGCTGCCAGCGCTCTGTGAATTCTCACCCAGACTAGGACAGCAAATATTTCCTGTCTGCCAAACTGTGACATCAGGTCTTTTTAGTCATTTTCCACTGACTGTGTGTGTAACTGAGGATGTAGTTTGCCCTAAGGAAATACTGAATATATCAGAAGTTATGACGAAAAGGAGCAGAATCCCCAGTGCATTCACCTGCAGAATACCTCGAGGCGCTCGTCCTTTGGAAAGGTAGATCTGCAGCCACAGCCTGACACAGAGGCATGGGCACAAAAATAACATTAAGTCAAGGAACAGGCTCTGCACTAAACTTAGTATTTTTCTCCTTAGAGAGAATTGGAACTGGGTGAGACATAAACCTTGATATACGAGTGAGTTTGGGGGAAAACGTGGTGTTTCTTAGCTAAATGGCAATGGTTTGTATTTGTCCCACTGTCCTGGGCTCCTAGATAATATTGATCTGATTTGTTAGTGAAATTTTTAATGAGAGGACTTAAGAAGACAAAACAAGACGAAAGAGACAAATAGTAATTCTCTATAAGCTTGAACAGACATCGAGAACAGCACCAGCTGCCATATTTGTACCTACTTTGTAGGGCTGCAGGTATGCAAGGCCTTCAAATGAGGCTTCCAGGTAGCAATGGAAACCGATTTCTCATCAGCCGCATAACTACGCCATACACACTACGTGCAGGATATATGGTAAAAAAGAAAAAACAAGGCAAGAGGGAGCAGGGGATGAAACAAAAAATTGAAAAGCAGATTAGTAACCAATACAAGTCATGGCTTTCTTTTATCATTCATAGCACTGATACATGCCTGAGGGGAGGAAGAATACTTTCATAATATCGCCAGGTGGCTGTCAGGTTTGTTCGGCTGGCGTCGGTAGAATAAAACCGCCAAGAAGCCTGGTATGGGGAAACAATAGAAAAGCACAAAGGAACCAAGAACATGAAGTGACCATGCCACCGCACTGATTACAGAGAGAGGGGATTTTGCTCAGACTGGGATGTGCTCTATTAGGTTGATTAAGGAAATACCAGTAAAAAACCTACCAAAACTTTTGTGAATCACAGTACACGTTACGCGATAAAGTAAGAGTTACTGGCTTCGCGGAAGCACCAGAAGATATTCAGCACATAAAGGTGCTCAAAAAAGCATCGCAGGGATTTATTGGTGACAAGTCCATAGGGGACACCCACACAAACTTGCAGTCTGAGGTAAAGAAAGTGTCATAATACATTTTGTAAATGATAATGAAAACCAGACAAAAAGCATTTAGAAGAAAAGAGAAGTATTCTCTGTGGTTTGAAACACCGCTAAATGTTCAAAAACATGAAACAAATAATTTCAAAGGTGAGTGACCAAAGCATAGCATTGAAAATGTATTCACTATTTAGATTTATAAGGCCACGTAGACAGTAAGACAGATCCTCGGTTCTACAAACTGGAACAGCTTCCCTGATGTCAGCATAACTATATTAATTTGTACTAGCTGAGTATCTGTGCTTTCCTGTATATTGTCAACTGTTAAATGTCATCCAGGTATTCTTGTACAGAGTCTGTGTTTTCCTACTGCATATCTCCCAGAAATACATCTAGTATTCATCTACAGATGGAGAACCTGTCACTTATTTTGTAAATTGTTCCACTGGTTGGTCATTCTTATTGTCAAAAATCTCTGCATTGTTTTTAATTTGAAACTCTTTGGGTTTGGCTTATAGCCAGAGATACTTGTTATGTTTCTGTCTGCTACATTAAATAGTCCTGGAAGTTTCAGTACTTCCTCTCTGGACTTTGATGTTCAAATAATATTCACACTGAATATTTCTTATAAACTGAAGAAATTAAGAAAAGTATGTCCATATGAAATATTTCAGTTTTCTATAGCGATACCTTAGCTATCTTTAAGTCAGGTAAAGGCTCTAGCAGACAGTATATCTATGGCAACAGAGGAGTTAGCACAGACTAATTCTACAGAGTAGCTGATTAGAAAATACACATTATCCTGATAAGCTACAGCACACTGATTTCCAAGGTAGTTCATTATCAATATCCACACCAGACAATTTAAAAAAGCCTGGGCACTGTTACAGTAGACAATGATATGCAGTTCAGACACATCCTGCATTTACAAACATGAAATTTTCTCCAGTCCTGGACTCATTTTTTCCAATGTTTTATTTGCTTTCTCCAATTTTCCAGTCTCATTTACAAACTGCAGATGCTGAGTTGGTACGTAGCATGTCAGTACCAGCATCACCATACACAGTGGTAATATCAGCCTTCTCCTACTTGTTACCTTTCTGGTTCTGTACCTAAGGACCATAATAAACCAGCTGGAGTAACATGCTGGGAACTTGTATGAAGCTCTTGACCCTTCTTTCCCACTCTTTCTCATCTGTGTATCTCATCCTTGGTCAAATCCTCCCCAGAGTTACTAGTACTGGGATAGAGGCCTCTTGTAAGAGCCTGAATTCATTGTTTCTAGATCAAGTTTTGTATTTGGCATATTGAGACATTTGGCAGGAATTGCTCCACCCTGTAAAGTCACCCTGATCATCCTTGGGTTCATTCCCGTGTGCCTGCCCTCATCTTTCCTACTCTGCCAGGCCTTCTGCCATTGGCAAATATTTCCATCAGCAAGTTTGTATTAATTTCCAGATCACTGAAAATGCTGAACTTGAAAATGAACACGTGAATGCTGAACAGCCGTCTCAAATATTTAGTATTTAATAATCATTGAACAGTAATAATGGAAAACATATATTAACTTTAAGAATGCTTCAAAGACAGCCTGGCATCTATCCTGAACTTATCAGGGAAGTCTAGTATATTCATGCTCAGCTTCTTTATTTGCATTTATTATTTCAGAACTAAAAAACCAGCATAAATGGTAAACATAAAATGCTTGGGATCCCAAGAAAATAAACTAGGATGCTAGAAGATTATTTCCCCCTTTGTTTTTTCAGTGCATCAAGTAGAGTAAAGCTTGGTGCAAAATCAATCTTTAGAGGATTTTCTCATTTTTAACTAGGACTGTTAATAAAGGAAAAACCCATGAAAAGCAGCTGTTTAACAAATATCATGCCACTTTCGCTTAAAAAAAAGTCTTTCTCAATTGTTGATCTGCACCATCATGCCAATATTGGAGCTGAAACCACTTCAGACAATCTCAGACATTTTGGAATCGCTAGCGCCTACTTTTCCAGCTTTTGAACTGACTAACAGCAAAAGCAATTCTCTGGGTGGGACACACTTCATTTTCACCAAGTATATCACTCATTGGAGCCCTCTAAACCCTGTACTAGATGAAAAGTAGCTTAATATAGGCAAGAGTGCTGTGCTGTCAGTTGGGTTGTCTAGGGATCAATTCTATTTTTCCAAGTAATTCGCTAACTGCAGGCATGCAATTGACATCTTCGACTTGGTTTCTTCAGCACGGATAGAAGAACTCAAAAACTACACATAGAAATGCTATAGACACAATTATGGCAACACACGGCAATCACTGCACAAGATTATTTCATGAAACTAACCAATCTGTTAAATGTTATTTCCACAAAATTTCCAAATTGAAATAATAAAACTTGCTCCAATATGTACTTTAAATTACCTAGTATTATCTTTTCACTGATTTCATATTTACCTGAATTAGACTGGCAGCTGGATTCCTCCTTTTCTCAAAGTGTTTCTGACGATGCTGCTCCTGCACTTTTAAAGCGAATCCTGAGCCAAGGATGCCCTGCAATACAATACGTCATTTATCATTATGTAGGTAGTTTTTTCAACAAACATACATAATCAACTAGAAAGATTTTGTGAAGATCGTTATGCCATATGATTGCTTCAGATAACACATTTATGACAGTACAGGACAGTATAAGGCTTAACAACCGTGTCCCTTTCCTGGTGAAGCAGGAGACTCCTTACTTACGAGGTAACATCTGTGGTGCTCCCAGTGGCCACTCATCCCAACCATTGCTTGGGTTTGTGCTACACTGTGTTCCTGCAACTCTAAAGGCCACGCGGATATACATATATATATGTGTGTGTACATATATATATATAAAATCAAGCAGGAACATTCAGAGGAACTTATGCCAGGAATGATGATGAAATGACCAGCTGCCAGATATGCCAGATATATACAGACCGCAAAGTCCGTATCTGCAGTGCTTATTATAACTTTTGATTTTGGAAAAGTTAGAAAATGTCTTGCTTAACAGTTTAAGACCATTTCTTCTCACTCTTTCCTATCTAAATAATCCCCATTGTTCATCCTATAGGCTATGAAAAGCTGATGATGAAACCTCTCCCCTTTTAGCCTTTTTACTTTTGAATAAGTAAGATAAATTTGACTGCTACTGAACAGACCCAAAGATTGAGAATGTTTCCCTCCTTGGCTTGCAAGGAGTGTAATATTTCTGCTGGGCATGTCTGCATTGTAAGAAAGAGTATTTCCACTTGATTTTTAGTCAGGATAAAATAATATCAGAAATGCTCAAGATTCACACATATGTCTTGTTTTACAGACAGGCTCAACACTGAAGTGTTTATGAGGAAAATGAGTATCTGTACGTAGATACTACACAAGGAACAAAATTTCTGGCATCTCTAATATATAAGGTTATTCACCTTTAACATGTTCATTGTAGTCCTGCTAAAACTAACTTTCTTGTTAGGTGACAAAGGGAATTAATTACAGTAGCTGCCACTAAATGTCAAAGATTCACAAACAGGTAATGTATTATAATTATAATCATAATCATAATGCATTATAATACTCTAGAGATACTGAAATACTCTCTGTACTTAGAGTAAGAAACAAATGCAGTACACCAGATGATTCAATGCTGTTGGCAAATGCTGACTTTTAATCTTGGTTTGTCTATCTGGTTGAAAACAAATGTATTATTACAACACACATGTTTTATAGTGATCTATGGATACTGAATCTGAGTATTAAAGTATTGCTTTTCTGTATATGTTGCACTGGATGCAATACAACAAAATACAAATGTCACTTCTGACTTCATGCTTATTCAATACTAATTTAAAAAAGAAAGGAAATTCACTCACAAAAATGAAAAGTTATTTCTGAAGCTACACTATATTTTAGCTATTAGATGATTCCCATTTCTATTAAAGTCTCTGGATCATTGATAAAAGCAATGTAAATAAACTGTCACGCTTATTTACAATCATTCACAGAAAATGATAGTTGCATTTTTACATTCAACGACATTAACTTTTGGTTGATTTAATCCCTTCTGCTACTCTCTGTTGGTAGCCTGAACATGGCCATACAAGACAACCTATTAGAAATATCTCACTATTTTTTTCAATAGAATCTAACTCAGAAAAACATATCAACTGATTTTTTTTTCAAAAATCTGAAAGAAAAGCAGTAATATATAAGCCACAATTCATAAAAAAGAAAGGAATTTCAACAATATACAATAGTATGTTACCCAATTTAGGATTATTTCCCAGTTTTGTCCATGCCAAAGAAACTCCCCAAAATTCAAGCAATGACCCCAAACCTTTCGTTTGGATTTTGGATAGCAGTTCCCTAGTGTTGTCACAGAGCAGCCTTCAGCTTCCTACGATACGCTGTATCATAACAGCGGGAGGAGCTACAGAAGTTTCTATTACCTTTTTACAAATTTTATAGGCATACTCACAGCAGGTAGTGCAAAGAAAGAAATGCCAAGTAGCGCAAATCCTGCAGAAAGCAACCTTCCAAGCCAAGTAAGAGGAGTTTTGTCTCCGTAGCCAATGGTTGTCAATGTGATCTAAAAAGAAACGAATTAACATCGTGGTTTACCAGAAGTCACGGAGGGATTAGTTGCAGATTATTTATGTTGTGTGAAACAGCGTTTCCACTAAATAATCCAAGACACGACATATATATATATATATATATATAGTTGTTTCTAAAAGAAAACCAAACATAGATAAATTAATGTTAATACATTTTTCTATTAAAACTTAATACCGTTTATCACTGAATAAAACCAAGATAAATAATAAATATGAGAAAAACACCTAAATAAGCAATAAATAGGTTAAAAAAACCCAAAACCAGAAGGTCTGGGATCTCAAAGTTGAGTCAAATGATGGGAAATTACTTGTGTCGGGCAGAAAAAAGCGTTCTTTTCCATGGTCGTAAAGGTGTTTCACCTATTTTCTGCAGGGAAATATAACTGTATGTATTTGCACAACTACACAAATATAATAGTGGAAAAATACAGTAGGGAGGAAGTTGAAGTTCGCAGATGATATGAAGTCAAAGGAAGAGCAAGCAGCAGCTGCATTTTCCACAAGACCATCAGTACAATTTGAAGTGGATTATCTTCTGAAACACAAACCCCAGTAATCAGTAGCTGGAAGGAAATTTAAGTAAAGTTCCTGGTCCTTTCCCCTTCCTTATGAGAGGCTCAGGTATACCTATATCACTCCTGATGTGAAGGTCCAAAGACTACGACTACTACGCGGCAGATGCAGAGGTACCTCAGGCTGTTGGACAACATTAGCTTGGACCTACGTGGGGAGAGGTCAGAGAGGAAGAGGATGGCATCTGCAATTCCTTCACCTGGTGGGTGTCGTCAGAGGCTCAGCACATAGATATTTCAAAAGTTGTGCTGTGGAGGCCAGCACCCGCGCCGTGGAGCACCGGAGTTTGGTACTGGTGGGAGGGCTCTCCACGTGCAACTCGTTGGCCACGGGCAACGTAGAAATGCAAATGCCGCTGGGATAATGGTGCGTGGTTGTGGTTTACCAACCGTATCTCCAAGGCAAAAGATTCCGGCTTCAAGCCTGCGTGTGGCTGAGGGTCTTCACCGACCCAAGGAAACGTCCTCCAGGCTATTCGTGGCCTGGGAAGCGTGCCTGTCCCAAACCTGGGGACTGGGCTGGTGGGAGAAAGTCACGGCTCTGCGTTTCCCTCGTGGGGAGTGGGGACCCAGCCCGCTGCAGAGCCGAGGATTTCCAAAGAGCGGGTGGGAAGCGGCAGGGCACATGCTCGGGCAACGGCACATGCTGTTAAAGGACAAAGATAGACAACGGTAGGCTGAATGCCAAGGACTCCAGAGCCTGTTATTAGCGGAGAACATGTGCACGGAGAATTATTTCACATCGTGTACCAAATGTGGGCAAGTTCAGGCTTAGCAAATATTCTGGCAGGAACGAATTCTTCAGGAAAATGCCTTCTAGAGACATTATTTTGCTTCCAGCTTCCTCAAAGTTCATTCCTAGGCAAGACGGCCAAAGCAATTCTATTTAATGCTGGGGTCACCACAGGACAAAAGAAGGAAAGTCTTTTGGAAGTAATTAGATTTCAACTATTTAGGGCTCTCTAGATAGTAAACAGTGCTTTTAATTGCTCCCATTGTTGGGAACAAGCTGTGGGTGTAATTCACCCTGAGAGCGCCATAGTGACTGAAAGAGAGTGAGCTGAACTAAGGCTGCAGCTGAAATTTCAAGTGGTTATCAAGTCTCAAGTTTTGTAATGCTAGCCCGGTCACAGACACACCACCTCGCGTGCTTATCAGGTCTCGCTCTCCTTCCTTGCTCCTCTTCACTTCCCTGCCCCATCCCCTCTCCCCGGCTTTTGCTGGACTCTTTGGAGAGCCAACGCAACCCAGGAAGGTGGAGAGAATTATCCACGTTTCTGCGTGGTTTGTTTCTGCTCTTTCGGTGAGTTGTGTTAGCTCGTGGAGGTGCCTAACGAATTCCAGAGCCTGCACGAGGCAGCGTGTGGCTGAGATGGAGCGATAAGGAGGAAGGGAGATGGGAAGGCAGCTCCCTCTTTCCCTGAAGAGCTGATGCAACCACGCTCTTGCCCTGGCAGAGGGGCTCGATTTGGATTTCCTTTGTCGGCTGAAGAAGGTTTTCCCAGCTCTTCTCGTCAGAGCGCAAGTGCAGAACACTTTGAGGCTATTAAGACCCTGAGAGCAGCGAAGCGCTTGAACAAATGAATCCCTGAATAAAAGTTTGTCAAAATTCGCTTCCAGGACAGCCACTGCGAAACAGTTTGAGGCTCTGGAACAAGCCTGGTTTCTTGGCTTCTGTCCAGCTCCCTATCTCTGCCAGACGCTGGAAAGTACAGAGATATCTCCTGCCTGGGCTGACAAGAAGGAAACAGAACTAAGTGTCATCTGCATATTAATGATATTGCCACCGAAGTGTCTTCCGAAGAAGTCAAAGATAAACTTGAACCTTTGGGATCCGACATCTGGGAGCGATCCAAAACCAGGAGCAGTCACACAGACTGTATCTCTGGAACTTATCCAAAGAAAATAACAAGACCATATTAAAGCCCTTCCCCTCATTCTTTCAGGTCCTGAGGACTTAATGGTATCAGTCTGTGATTAAGAATATCAGTGGCTTCTTGCTCACATTGAGCTGTTTTATCTCGGGATGGTCTTTACATGGGCGTATAGGTGTCAGCACCGTGCCGTATCGCCTTACTCAACACTGGACAAATGGGTTTGATCTTCATTTTATGTTCCTCTCATCACACAACTAAGAAAATATTTTCCCAGACAACTTCAGGGTCAAGTTCAGGAATAATCCTCCGCATCTTTGTTGGTGCTGCAAGCAAATGACTAAACCAGTGGCCAGGCCCTGACTGGCATAATGCTGAGGTTAAATTAACTGAACAGGCTGTGGAAAACTACTGGACGTGAGACCATGACAACATGAGAAATTTCCAGACGTCACTGATAATAACATAAGAAGCAGAGAGAAGTTACAGCTAGCACTGTGAGGGAAGGTTGGATCCCATGGGTGGTTAAGGGAGAAGTGACCAAAGTTCAAAGGTGACCGGCAGAAATTATTTGGGACCTTTCAGGGATCACAGTCTTGCAAGGACAATGGCACCTAGGTGACGGCATCAGCGGTACCGTACAAGGCCAAGAGTGACGAGGTGACAGAACTACAAAATCTGTAAGAAACCTGTGCAGGTAATTAGGGAGAGGTTGTATATTTGAGAGGAGACTTGGTCAGAGGAAGCAAAGTGGTGAAAAAGAGGATCAAGATACTGTAAAAGAAATAACTAGGTGCGCAAATCATGTCTTTCTGGGGATACCAGCTGAGGAGCCCCGTGTCTGATCAGCACAGCCTAAACCAGGACAATAAACCAAATCCTTTAGAGTTTACCTGTACAGGACTCATTTCACCTAACTTGAAAAATAAAATGCTTAGGTGTTTAGCATGTCTGGTCACCGCAATGGAAAGAGAGATTCCTCCAGCGGGTAACTCATCCTATCCTAAAATGTAGGACTTGGGCTTGCCAGAAGTGTCTAGTGCCACCGGCGACGCCCTAGGGCATCTGAACAGGGACCACCCGCAGGAGAGGCAGCGGACCTCCAGCAGATCTCCCAGGGCACTGTATGTCTGTGTTCAAGCAACTGAATCACATTCCTACATGGCTAAACGAGCCAGCTGAGTCCTATCTTGTGTACCAGATGCAAAACACTCCGTTTTGGTTGCTTCTATAAATGAGGTGTCTGGACAGACCAGCCAGGGCAAGCAGTGTCATCTGGCTAGACTCAGAACTCACAAAGATGATAGAACTTCTGTTGTATCTCATTGCTGGAGCTAATAAATATGCTAATAGTAAGTGAGGTAATATAATAATGATAATGAATGTGATTATATAAGCTAGGTGCCTTCAATTAGACGAGATAGGACCCAGGAGGCCCCCCTCTCTACCCTAATATTTCTTTCTGATGTCATTTTATGTCCTGCTAGCAGTATTTACCTTTGGAAACTTTACCTGACATCAATTAACTGAAAAAAATGTAGTTCGCTCATGCTATCATTACATTAAATGGGAAGAATGTCATCGATATTAACTCATTTGAGCTAGTAATTGTGACAATATTATTCAGTGTAATATGTTTTGTTCACCTACAGGTCACTGTGGAGTGCCAGAGCCATTCTGTATCCAACTGTAACTACTGGACACCACTTGAAAATAATGACTTACTAAGAGAAACTCTGTCAAATGTGCAAGAGAGGCAGGAATCTTAATTGCATTACATCTGCAGGTAAAACTAATTAACGTACAAACTAAATGCCACTATAAGCACACACAGTTCTAGCTAACACTAGCAGTTCTCAGAAAACCATGCATGGTTTGCTTTTGAAATACTTAAGTTTTTAAATTGATCTTTTGTTCCCGTGTAGTTTGGTTATTCTATTCTGCTAAATGAATTTACCTTCTCTACCAAAGCACATTTTGAACTTGAGCTCTTCATATAACACACCCTGTTGGGTGCTGTTGTGTTTGGCAGCACTGAGGGGACCCCAACGCCAAGAATATTCACAACAGTAACATTAGCGTGATGTTTAAGCTGCGCATTGCACAGTACAACGTGCAATTGCAAATACGGTGGAGTATTCATATGTAAATATCAGGATGCCATATCCTGCCTTTCATCTCAGCACAAAAATGCAGGCTTCAGAAATGGAGTCAGTGAAATGACCGTAGCAGGGTATGGCCCTCAAATAATTTGAATTGATGAACGGGTTAATTGCTGCATGCTGGGTCTGGTCTTGTAAGGGGGGGCAAAAGTGCCCCTAAAAGCCTGAAATTTAAGGTGACTATTTTTGCCTGACTTCAGTGGAGTCTTTTCTTTCTTGTACCTCTGCCATCACAGAATTCAGTCTGGGATTTGGTAGATGCTCTGTGGTTTAAGTTAGAACAACTTTTGCAAATAAACAAATCAATGAGGCTAAGCATTGATTTCCCCTAGAATGCCATACAATCTGACCTTTTCAAAATCTGCATGTGGGTTACTCTGGCAGTAAAAACAACCATGACTAAGAAGCACATTATGCATTTCCCACATACTGTTTTACATATTATACAAAAAATACTATTATTAAAATGGCAAAGATAACAGGTAAGGGGGAACACTGATTTTCAGTAACTTTGTGCACTTAAGCACATTAAAAATTTAAATGTATTCATGTCACACACTTGGGAAAGAAAAAAAGATATAGAAATATACAACACAGATTGTTTTCAGGTTTTTGATTACAGTTTGTTGTTTTTCCTGCTGATGTCAAGAAAAGATTCCTATTTTCTCAGTTGCACTACTTATCTGACCTATGAGTCATACTTTTTCACTTCATAGTGTACAAAATATTTTAAGCACCACTTTATACAATGATTATTTTTTAGCGGGGCTTTTCCTTAAAAAATAGCAGTCAGCAGGTAGTGGAGAAGCAAATTCTAAAATAAAGACCTTGTTCCTGCTGCCGGAGCTGTTGAGGGAGAAGGATCTGGATCTAACCTGAGCCTCAGCCAGATGTCAGAGTTGAGGTCTGAGGTTGCTGGGACCATCCCGTTCCTCACCCATAGGTTTCCCCAGCAGGCGGGGGGGTAAAATCCTCTGCTTAGTCCAAACTCCCTAAGTCACCCACGGCTTTGCGGAGAGGAATCGAGCGGCTGAAAACCCGCCTTGCCAGACCCATCCCCTGCCACCGGAGGGTCTCTCGCAGGACCGCGTCCCCACTGCCACCCCCGAAGGGGCAACGGTGTTTGCAGACCGCCGGAGCCAGGGTACCCATCAGCGAGGACCCCAGCGTCCCAAGCCAGATGCTTCCCAACCGCATCAATCCAGGCAGGTTAGAAAGCTTTAAGCCAAACCTAGACCTCAGCTTTTGAAGAAAAGTGAAACAAAATAAACTGCAGTGAGGGGACCGAGGGTAAAACCTTCTCTCATGACTTTAGCCGATATGAATTTTACATGTGTTTGGATTACAGGATAAAAATGTGTATTTTATCAGAGATCTGTCTTGATGCCCTAAAGCAACAAGTTTCGGGAAAAATATTTTTGTATATTTGTAGATGCACAAGTAAGACCTACTAGGTCTGGCTTTTCCAAGCTCCCAATTCTGTGCACTGGTAACACAGAAATCTAGTCTCTAGGGGAGACGTGTAACAAATGATTAACCCTTCGATGAACAAACTTCAAATACAAACTAATACAAATACTAATACAAAACCAAACTAATCCTACTAATAGGCAATGACCTTGACCTTTGCTCAAAATGTAACCAAAACTTATTAAAAATATTTCTCAAGGATTTCAAGCATTTTGGAAAGGGCTTTTGCACGGTCCGTCTACGTGTGCTCTGAGCCTGCGGATACCACTGAGTGCAGATGAAGTCTTGTCAGCAGAAGGTCTGAGGTGCGAAAGCTTCATTTCTGCATCCCTCTGGTGAGGAGAGGTGGCAGAGGCTGGTTCAGATCTTGCACTTATTCCAGGAAAACTAATGAGTGCTCTAGGTTATGTCAGTATTAATGATCTCACGGGCATCACGTCACTACTCAGACACTGTCGGAGCTCATGGTGTTTGTTCTACTGCATCAGAAGGAAAAGAAAAGCAGTTTATACTGCCTGGCAATGGCTCTGCCGTAGGCTTTGTTGGGGCAGGTTTCTTAAGCTGCCTAAGTAACTCCCACACAGTGCAGGCGTCTAGCTCACTACAGGGCATTTTTAAGCAAAAAACCCTACACACTATGCCATTAAAAAAAAATTTCAAAATTTCAGACCTAGTTTATCATTGTTCATTTAAAGCCTGGTCTATTTAAACATGTAAGCATTCCTATAATCCTCCTTCTTTCAGAAAAGCAGTCAGGCATGTACTTAGATCCCACAGTTTTCAACAAAGGAAAACCAATTGATTTGATAGTTAAGCATGAGCTCAACTAAATCAGGGCTTTTATACCTGTAAAAATAACACTGCTGAACCAGAATAGGAATATTTATTCTTGCTTTTTCTGCTCTAGGTACAGAGGAGGGAGAAACAACATCATTCTAAGGGTGCTGATGATACTCTTCCCTTCACCGCAAAGCTGATGTGAGAATTTTTTCCCTCTTTCTTTCCTGACACTTGTTCCTCTTCCTGCACTGCAGCTTACAGCCCTCTGATTCGGATCAAAGCAGCTCTTTGTGGGACCATATTACAAACTGTATTACTGAAAGGATCTGGGTTAAAAAATAAAATGCTTTCTTCTCTAGAAGGTTTAGTGGTCTGGTTTGCAGCAGGAACACAAAAACAGCTGTTCTGCAAGATGGGGTGAAATGAACTATGGATGTGCAAGAGAACAGCTGGAGGAAGAAGCTTCTCAGACCAGTTTTCTGCCAGTGGAAACAATTCACTGAACAGCACACTAAGTTAAAATCCACAGTAGGTGAAATTCTAGCATACCGGTTAAAGAGTGTGTATTATTTTTCTGTACTTACTGTGCCCCACCAGAGAGCATCTGCATATGTGGAGAATTGGTTATTTGCATCTTTTTCCACCAGATAAACCAGGAAAGATGAAAAGATGAGTACTAAAAATCCTATGTACCAGGCTGTGATTAATTCCTAGATAAAAGAAACCAGAGATCAATATCCATTTGAAAGACTGAACAGAATGGCATTTCAAGGAAGACATACTGAAAAGATCTATATATTTTTTTTGGCATTTGAGCAGTTAAAAGTCAAATGCTTCCCTACGGATGCAAATTTTCTCTGAAAGTGGACCAAATCCAGTCCTGTGATGCTTCAGCAACTTCACCAGTATATGTCAAATTACAACAGCGTATCAAGGACAACATTTTCAACATATTGCAAAAACTGTTAGCATTTAACATGGCCTGATGTATCTGTGCTAATGCCTATTACAACTTGATGTTACTTCAGAAAATTTTAGGTATTCTGCTCAAAACTGTTAAATGTTTGTTTCCTTGGCTTCTTGTTGAATCACATCGAGTGAAACTATCAACCAGACAAAATCAGCATCTAGCATTACGTACCTTGCTATGTGCATAAACTACTGAACCTAATAATTTCCAAGTGCCTCCTCTTCGGTCCATGCGCACCATACGAAGGATCTGTAGGAAACGAAGACTTCTCAGTGCTGATGTTGCAAAAATGTTACCCTGAGTTTTTGCAGAAACAACTGCTATTGAAGCGATGAGAACAATGATGTCTGAAAGAAATACATTACAGAAAACATTAATGACCGAGCACCAATAAATAACACATACACGTACATGAGCTGAATGAGAGGACAAAAGAGAGACTCCTGCGGTGGGTGGGAAACCGAAGGACTGAGATTCCTCTTTGAGGTAGGGATGTGAGGTCAGGGCTGGTGTCAAAAACTACCCTGGGAGCCTCCAGGGTGAAAACTGAGGGTAGTAATTTTGAAAACGTGGATAAATGGAGCAGTGTTGAAGGAACCTCATCAGCTTTGAAGCCTGATGTAGCAAACTGTATAAATCAGTAGATGGATTTGAACTTTTCCCTTTTGTATCTTTTCCCATAGCAACTTTCTTATGAAACGGCAAAAAAGAAAACAAAGATAAGAAAAAAATAGAGCAGCCCAAGTGGCGAGAGTCCAGTGGAACCGGACTTAGAAGCACAGGTATTAATTTCCTATGAGTACAAACACTGTGTGGTTGAGGCATGTAGTTTCTGGACACAACTCCCCTGATGTACCGTTTCCTGGAAAGGAAGAAATACAGTGCTGAGTACTCAGAAGCATTCTTTCAGCTGGCAGCCTGGAAAGTTTGTTGAAACCCAGCAAGTGTTAGGATTTATTTCTTCAGGTCACAGATTCAAACTGTGAGAGTGAGTTCGTTCCGCATGAACTAATCAGCCAACCGCCCTTAATGCCAGAACAGCATTTAAAGGGAGATGAGGAAAAGCAGGACAGTGATGGCACACGGATGCTGCGTGAAGGCATAATGTTCTTTTACGATGATTGGGGCAGACACACCGGTGTGCACAGAGGGGAACAGCATAGAACACGCTCTGTGTTACTTCATCACCTCATAATTAATTTCCTAACCTTCTTCAAAAGCTTAAAGAGCCTCTGTAAAAAAATACCTGCTTTAAACCTTAGGATTTTGTGGTGTTTGTGTGTTTCTATGCAAGGATAACCTAAACCCATGTTTGCCAGTGAAGAACTGAAAGGAAGTTCTTGTTGACACGAGTTTTGCTTCTTTTGTGTTGGGTATGAACGCTCATCTTGTCCCAAGCACAGCTCCTACAAGTCAAGAATGACCCAGCAAGTGGAAAGGTCAGTTCCATCCAGTACAGTAGAAAATAGCCTTGGTTCATGCTGCTCAGCCACCAAAGAAAGCTGAGGTCCAAATACCCTTGTCTGCAAACATCCTGGGTTTCTTTGAACTCACCTATGGATGGCTTTGTCCTCTTATTACAATACTAAAGGTACAGACAATCTGTGGTTTAAGGAGCAGGACACTAAATTAAATTGTGGAAATCCTTGTCACAAGATGCTATAAGTTTACTTAAGTTCAAAGCCAGCAGGATGATCTCATGGGAGAAGATTTAATCATGGGCTAATTAATACCAAGAGCCCACTTCTGGCTCAGGACTTCTCCAATTAGCAGGCTGTTGGAGGCTGAGAGACTCTTATGGAGAAATATCATTGCATGTTTGCCCCGCTCATGTAATCTTCTCTGACCGTTCACTGTTGGCTAGTGTGTCGCTGTTGGACACAGTGTGTTAGGCTAGGCTGACCTTATGCCTGTCTTATGCTCTGACATTTTCAAATGCCTTTGGCTACTACATAGGTGGATCATAGGTGGCTACTATATAATTGGCTTCCAAAAAAGCTGGATTTGCCTCTAGATGTAAATCCAACATGTTCAGAGATGAAGAAGAGCCAGAAATAGATAAAGTATCCTGGGGTGTCTCCGCCAAGAACGAGTCTCAAGAGCACGACAACCAGATGCAGGAGGTCTGGGTGAGAATTCAGAAATAGGACAACTGACCAGGAAAAGTTAGACATCACAAATTCTAACGGAGATCAGAAAAATAGATGGGGTGGGATTCAGCTCCACGTGAAGACATTTAAATTTAGGTGTCCGCATGTGAAGCAGGTGCCTAAACTCCCCGTGCAGCCCAAGGAAATCACGTCAGCTGAGAGAGGTGCAGCTAATCCTCAGGAAGGCTGCCCAGCTGACCCGTGCTCTGGGCTCGGTACAAAAAAGGCTCGGTTCAGCTGCCCGAATGTATTGGTCCAGTGCCATTTGAGATGCCTTAAGGTATCTGAGACATCCCCTAGGTCTGGCAGCTATGCTCTCGGACCTGGGAAGGCTGTGCCCTTCAGGAGAAGTCGCTGGAGAGCGGGGAATATCACGTAACAGGGGACACTTCTATGTACGCCGCCGAACTAAGCCCTAGATCTTGACCGACTATGCTGGAAGTATAGACACGTAGCACACATGTACCCACCTACAAGCAAACTTCTATATTTAGGTGTGTTTATCTGGATCTGAGGCTCACATAGAGCATGCTGGAAATCCTTGAGCAACACGGACTGTGTTGAAGAAAGACCATCCCTGGTGACTAACACGATGGCAAGGTTAGCTTGGCTTGTCCCACGCTGCTCCGAGCAGAGCAGCAATGTAAGAGCCATTTTTAATTAGTGGTGACTGGCTAGCAGCAAATCAGATATCGTTAGAAAAGCAGCGTGCACTTCTGCAAATCATTCTTAGACCTTAGGAGAGAGTAAGGTCACCCGAATATTATGAATTATGCATTTGGTCTCAAAATTATTAAAGTGTTTACTGGGGGTTTTTGTTACCCTCAACCACTATCAATAGGACAGTTTGTTACAAAAGCCAACGATTTGCCCCTGATCTTATCCCTGCCCATTCCAGGAGCTCTGACAGCTTTCCTTATAACATGGAGTTTCCTGGAGGTCCCCCCACTGCAAAAAATTCAAATTAATTCAGTTTTGCCAGCACTGCACAGCATCTGCCCTGTGCTGCTGGGAACCCTCTGCCCCACTGAGGGTCTCTGGTCCCCTCTGACCACGAGAGACAAAGAAACCAACAGCACCATAGCTGTCTTTTCCCTTTTTTAAAGTGTTGGTTCAAGGGAGTTATCTACTTGTGTATAACCTTCTAGATGGAGAGTAGGGATAGGGAGAGGCAAAAGGAGGAGAGCCTGGGGAAACGGGGGAGCAGAAAACACACTGGCACATGTTTAAAAAACAGTTGGAGGGAAGAGAGCCTTCCCAGGCTAGGCTGGTGGTTTTTTCACACCTTGCTTTCTCATCTTCTTCACCTCTTCACAATACACCCACCCCTCCCAAACCACCCCCCTCCCCAGCTCCTCAGGCTGGGAATAGGGAAGGAAAGAGCGTGTCCATTGCCTGAGGCAGCGCTCCCTGGCTGCGTTTCCCTCGGAAGCAGGGAAGGCAGGCAGGCACATTATTTCAGCATAGCTTAACTTGCCAGGAACAGGTGTAAGATAAATCAAAATAAACCCTTCTTGGAATGAAATCAGAGTCCAAAGGCAAGTTTGCAACAGTTGAAAGTCACTTCTGAATATGTTAAACTTGCTTGGTTTTCTTATCTAAGCACACCCTGGAAAAATGAAAAGTTAAGTACTTTATGATTTTCTCCCTGCCACATTTTTTTCCAGCAAACCTCAGGTGCCATTTGCCCTCTTTTAAGCAAGAGAGCAAATATTCTTCTGAACTTTCCTTCATACTCCGCTTGAATTTAGCTAAAATCTCCATGGTATTTCTGTATTTTAAGGAGGCTTTAGCAAACTTCTATCAATATTTTCCTCTTTAACTTTTAGTGGCAAAACTGGGAAATCAAGAAGAAGTAAACAGCAACATTTCAATTAATTTAATGGGGACTCAAGTTTCACTCTGTATCTTGCTGTAAAGCACAGGAAAGTTTGGGATATGAGAGTGAGTAATGGGCAGTATAATTCCAAACTTCTCGGTAATGACTTATTAGAAGACAGAAGTTTCTGATGTACATTTACTTCTTTGAGTTTTTCCAAGCTAATACCTTGTGCCTGATCTTCCAAAATGTTAAGCGTCTCTTCAGCTATGATGCTGATTTTATTCACTCTTTAGAAGTCTCTCTCATATTTTTATCCTGCAGATAGCACCCTCTGTCGTTAACTCCAGTCTGAGATTTCAGATCTTCTCAGCAGCTTTTGCAATGTTCACTTTTGAACACTTCATTTCAAATTAAATTTCAAACAATGGATTCTTCCATTTCAGACATTTCACCTAGTATCTCTCAAGAAACCGCTGAGATCACGTGAAAGTTTGTTAATAGTAACTTAACAAAGGCTTTTTTAGTTGACGGCCACCATGTTAATAACCGGGGGGCCCCCTGAAAAATAAAAAAAGAGGAACCCAGAACTCACGTGTGTAATAGATTACACTTGTATATTGTCCAATCTCACTAAAATAGTGACTTATAAGTCAAGACGAGTAACTGAAGCCCAGTAATGCAACAACCTGAGTAGCTCCTGAGAGGTGGGCCAGCCTGAGCTCCCCACCTCCCAGAGGAAAGACAATGTTGGGTGGCCTTACCCTGCTCAAGCCCAGTTAGAAACTCTGGATCGCTTGGATTACTGGTGGAGGTGTGGTTAGCATTTCTAAGCTGTAAGCACTTCTGATGGCAACTCTGTGACTGAGATTGATAATGATAAAAAAGGAGGTATCACAAATCATCGTAACGGATTGTTTTACTGCTAATGACTTTTTCAATGTAACTTTCCTACTATGAACTTCTTGGATGTCGTGGGATTTTACAGTATTCAAAGGTATCATGCTAATGGACCCAGTTACATAGGGGAAAGGGCGAACACAGCAGCTTTACTTGGATATTGCAAAACATCCCAAAGCCTTGATGTGCCATCAGGACAATCTCTAAAATTACAGAAAGAATGTCAAGATGATATTAGGAAATGTAATTAATGACAATCTCTCATCTGCTCAAAGCTCACGTACATGCTCAGACTAATAGACATTCTCTTTCTCTCTTTCATATTCTTCAAAGACTTAGTGTATAAGAAGATGTTACCGAGAGCTTTTCCTATTGCCTGCATTTAATGCTGATGTGTTGGAACGTCCTTTCCTTCTAAAAAAAATGACACTTTGAGCCCATACAGGTTAAATGAAACTCGTGATATTTTTTTTCTTTG